ACACTCAGATGGACTGACTGTAAGTGCAAGCTAAACAAACCAGCCTAACTTAAACTATCATGGATAAAAATGTACGTGAAGGGATCAAAACAGCAATATAAGCCCACGGAAAAACCAATACTGATTACAGATCTCATGCTTCACGATAGGATCCACTTTGCGTTCTGCCTAGTTCTAGAACGACAGCGAGGGCTAAGTCATAGGCTTAAGACAACTTCCTGTGTCAGCGGCGATTAGTGTGTTGAAATGGACTCCAGGTAAGTGATCAACCGAGTCAAAGTTTACAGTTAACTTCTCTATATGTGATGAAAGCAGCTGAGGCGTCCTACCCTGAAATATTTGTTTATATATTGGGGCTGAACACAGGTGGAGCACGGCAAAAAAGATCGGATGTGCAAGCCGCCAAAACATCGGCCATCATCATCACCATCTTCACGATCTCATGGCTGCCCTACGCCACTCTGGCCCTCCTCTCTCTTATCGGTTATCGCCACCTCCTGACACCCATCTCCGCCGAGATAGCTCTGTTCTTTGCCAAGACCAGTGCCGTCTACAATCCCGTGGTTTACGCCCTCACGAATGCAAAGTTTCGCGTGAGGTTGACCAAAAGGATGTCATGCCTGATGCAGTGCTGGCATTGCCGTAGAGAGCAGGTCACGATTGCTTAATCCCCCTCCCCAATTTTAGGTTCATCTTTTCGTTTCTTTCCCATCTCTGCACTCTCATGCCTCTTGGCCTTCTCCACTGCCCCCATCTTCCTTTCTGCAAAGGATGATCTTTTAATCATCTTCCTAATCTTTGGTTGCCAGTGGAGACCCCAATTATGTCGCCAACCTTGGGTTTCTTTTACCGTCTCACCCGCCCTCTCATCTTCTCTTAACTTGAAGAAACAAAGATGGTGTTGTGAGTTTATTACACACGCAAGTTCTGCGTAAGCTGCTCTCCCTCTCCATTTTAAATGAGCAGTTCATTGCCTGTCTGTCTCTACTGGGATTGCTCTGCACTATATGGGCTGGACAGACGTGGTGCCGCACAAAGGTAGTTGGAATCCTAGTTTAGGTCCCATATCAGTTTACTTGTCG